ATGCAGAAAACTCTTGTTGGGAGACTCAACCATTATTGTCAGATGTTCTGCCCTAGCCGACTGACAGATTAATTGAGGCAAAACTCCAAATAGTGGTTGACCACAAAAGAATAAAAATAAATAAATATATTGGGCATAATGTTGACATATATCCACACAAATGGCAAAACACACCGACCCCCAATCATGCAGAAAAAGTTAAACCCAAAAAATTTCTTCGCTTGAGAACGTGTTTTAAATCTATATATATATAAAAAGAATTATCATTTTTTAAAAATAGTAGGTCAAATTCTGGTCAAATCTCAATTAATATTAATTACATTCCATACTTAGTAACTTTTTTTTCAAAAAAATCAGCATTAAATGCTACCTTAAAATTATGGTATTTGTTACTTTTCTTTCAAAAAATCGTGCTACCTTAAAGAAACAATATTACATACCATAAATTTTTGACGAACTAAAGTGTTTTATTTGGAAGCTATTATATTTTAATTAAAACTAATTACGGTTGATTTAATCTTGAAATGGTACAACAATTTTATTCTTTTTAATATGCACCCTAAATTTATATATTTTGTGGATTTAATTTAGGTAAATTTTGACTGATGCAAAAGTCAATTTTCTTTCTCTATTTTTATTAAAAAAACTGATTAAAATAAAATCAAAAATTTCGAATTAGGCAAAATACTATCACATATATCTTTTACTAATTGCAACAAATTAATTATTTATTATAAAAATCGAATTGCATAGTCGGCATGACAATTTTGTAAAAGTCAAAATCCTTTCATTTTTTTATTAAAAAAAAATTGTTTACCATACAATCGAGAATTTTTAATTAGACAAAACACTATAACATGTATCTTTACCTAATTGTAGCAGATCATGTTTATTAAAAAAATCGGATTACATAAAAATCGGGCCAAATTTCAAATTAAAATTTCAAAATCTTTTATCATTTGATTACTACTTTCTTTAATTCGGACTTTTTTTTAAACATGAAATAAAGTCATATAATATTAATTTGAAATTCAAAATGAAATCGGATTGTAACATCCTAAAAAATTGGGTTTTATTTAATTATCTAGAATACAAATTTGAATTGATTGAATACACTTACAAAATAAATAATGATTTCATACACTTACAAAATATCGTATATATTCTGCTAAACTATTTAATCGATTTATTTAAGACTATCTACAATCTTAATATAATTTGTGGCGATAGACGATGTACCAAAAGACCAAACAAATAATTTTGTGTACAATGATGTGTTTAATAATATATAACGTTACATTGTGTTTCATTTCAATATATGTATTTTACATTCTTCTAATCATTCAAATTTAACTGCTTACCTTAATAAAACTAGCTCGTGCATCGCACGGGTACCGCACTAGTTTGAGAATGAATAAAAGTAAAATCATTCGTCCTCTATGAGAATTCGCGCTTGGTCTTACGTTTGTTTATTTACGGACAAGTTTCGTAACACGCTTGTTTACGGACAAGTTTTGTAACACGTTTGGACATTGTAACATTGCCAATTTTAAAATAAAATTGAAAAAAAAAGAACAGTTTGGTCGCGCTTTCTGACTTTCAAGTAAGTCGTAATTCTTTAACGACATGTCGTACTACACAAAACATTCTTATAGGCAATATAAAGAGACAATAATGCTAAAGAGCCAACAGTTGGTTCCGTTACAGAGCCAACAATCAATGAGACAACTCCAGGTGGGGGTGGCCCACAATACTTTAATGTGAGACAGTCCCACATGGAGTTATTCAATTGGTTGTTGGCTCCATAACGGAGCAAACTGTTGGCTCCTTAGCATTACTGTATAAAGAGATAACCTATTTATCAGAAATAATAAAAAATAGTCAACCAACATTTATTGCATTTTACTTTTTGCAGTTTTTGAATTATCTTTTTAAATCATTCCCAAAAAATCGATCAGCTCTATATGCACCCTAAATTCATGATTTTTGTGGATTTAATTTAGGTAAATTTCCACTAACACTTACAATTTTACAAAAATCAAAATTCTTTCTAATTTTGTATTATAAAACAAATCTGATTACCATAAAATCGTGAATTTTGAATTAAACAAAATAATATCACATATCTTTTCTGAATAACAAAAGATCAATTGTTTATTAAAAAAATTTGAATTTGCATAGAAATCGAGTTAATTTAGCTAAAATTCGACATGATAATTATGAAAAAGTCAAAATTCCCTCATTTTTTGTTAAAAAAATATGTTTACCATAAAATCGAGAATTTCAAGTTAGTAAAAATATTATAACACGTATCCTTACTTAATTGCAACATATCATGTTTATTAAAAAGTGGGATTGCATAGAAATGAGAACCAATTTCAAATTGAAAATTAAAATTTAAAAACTCTTATCATTTGACTACTACTTTTTTTAGTTCAAATTTTTTATTTTAAAACATAAAACAGAGTCATAATACATTCTTCCTAGTCAAAGCTAGCTAAGGGAATAGCACCATCTTCTCTCTTTCATGACTTTCTTGTTGATTTAATATTAATTTAAAATTTAAAATGAAACCGGATTGAAACATCCTAAAATTTGGGTCTTGTTTAATCCTCTGGAATACAAATTTGAAATCTATATCTATATCTATATAATGAACCAATTTTTATTGCCATAATTGTCATGATTTTGGGCGGAAAAATTTTTCGTCTATATTTGGCATTTGGTTAATATTTATATATTAGCAAATCTTATTTATGAAAAACATAATTAATTTTTATACACTTAATGACTGTTACTCATTAACTATAAATTGGCTTAAATTGAAATTTTGATCGTAAATTTATTAGATTTATTTTCAATAAGATTTTATATTAATTTTATATTACTTTATTGATACAATTCAAAAACTTGTTATGGAAATTTAATTGATTAAATATATTATCATCTATGGTTGTAGGTATTAATCTAATTAATTATATTCACTATTTATAAGTACTTAAAATACTTAATAAAATAATAAGAATAACTATATTTAAATCATAATAACTTAATAAATAATTTATATTAATAAAATTTTTTAAAATGTAGTCAATTTAATTATAAAAAAGTACATCCATTTTGAATATATCATATAATACTATCGAAAATTTAAATAAAGTATCAATAAAAATAAAATTTGATGGTCGAGTGCAATTCATAATTATAAATTTCGTCTACGAAGTATCTATGTACATTAAAAAACTATTCAATTTTATAAAATATATACTATTTTATAAAGAAAAAAAATAAGTTAATAAAAAGTAATGTATAATAATATAAAGTAGAGCACTTGGTAATTATTGAAATATATAATATATTTAAATATTCGAATAGATACTATATAACTCATTATATAGGTTGAAAAAATGAATTAGAGAAATAATTGTAAAAAAAATGAAAACATAAAAATAAAATATTTAACCGTAAAAATTTATGTGTTGCATTAGGATTAAAGTTACTAAAAATTAAAATTTATTTATCAAAGTTTTGAACATTTAATGCACTTAATAATTATAGCGGAAGATAAATATAATGGGTTAAATGTTAGTCAGTTATCAAGCAATTTGTAAATTATGAATTATTGAAAAAATTATAAGAATATGATCAACGGTAATTTTATCATTACATAAAACAAGTAATTTGTATGCAAATATCATATGATCTTATACATTTATAATATTTTATAAACTAATAAATAATAAAATTTATATATTAAATAATCAAAAACTACAAAAAAGAATATATAAAAATAAAAATTAACAACAATAGTAAATAAATAAATGCCATATTATTACTTATTAGGATATTGTGGGAATAGAATTTCATATTGTCTTCAATAATTTTATAGTATTTAAATAAAAAAATATTTCTTTCTATTGCACCCCGTGCATCGCACGGGTATCAAAACTAGTTGATTTCATACACTTGCACAATTTCTCTTTCCTTAAATTAAGTAATTTACAATTTAAAATAACAAAGATATAGAGTATCATAAAAGACGTTTTACAATCTCTATTATATTTTGCTTTGCAATTTTTATAAAAGCAGTATAAACATATCATATATATCGTGCTAAATAATTTAATTGATTTATTTAAGCCTATACAGAATCTTAATATAATTTTACCAAAAGACCAAATAAATAATGTTGTGTACAAGGATAGTCCAATACGTGTGTTTTACGTTTTTTCAATCATTCAAATCTAAATGTTTATTTTAATAAAATCAGTGATCGCACTAGTAGTTTGAAGGAAAAAAAATCTTTTTCACCCCAATACAAAGATACACTTAAGTTTTTCACACTGCCCACTAACAATCCAACGTTTTCACCCCGGGAAGTGTGAAGATTATGCAAATGGACTGCATAACTGTCGCATATCAATCGCATAACTGTCGCATATTCATCGCGCAATGTTTTCATAGTTTAACTTTTTTCACTCCAAAAAGTGCGAACAGAATGCGAATGGCTTCGCACTTTTAACTTTCGCACAATGTCATCGCGCAACTATCGCATATTTATCGCACAATGTCTTTCGCACTTTAGGAGATGAAAAAGTTAATTTATTTACGAGCAGTATGAAAAATTTAATACATTTCCACAATAGGATTTAAAATACTATTTTCACTAATTTGAATTACCCAACTCCAATCTACTTGCCAAGCCAAAAAAATATCTACCGACTTATCACTATTCACCTCAGACAAACGTGAGTCATAGCTGACGCTATGTAGAGTCGTCCCATGAATCATATCTGACTCAGCCACCCTCAAAAATATCACCATCAACACTCCAATCATCTACAGCTGTTACTCGCTTAATCCCCTATAAATAGCTCTTACCTTTCTCAACCTTATATCCATCCGCAACACATTTCCCTCACATTGTTTAAGAGCAAAGCATTTATTTAATTTATTATTATTATTTTTATTTTTTTTTTCAAAGAGCGAAAACGAGAGAAATGGCAACTCAAGTGAAGGCTCTCGGTTGGGGTGCCACAGACTCATCGGGTATTCTCTCTCCTCTGGAGTTCACCCGGCGGGCCACCGGCAGCCGTGACGTCCAGTTCAAAGTCCTCTACTGTGGTGTCTGCCACTCGGATCTCCACCTCGTCAAAAACGATTGGGGATTTGCCAAGTACCCTATGATACCCGGCCACGAGATCGTCGGCGTTGTCACCGAGGTCGGATCCGAGGTCGATAAATTCAGGGTCGGCGACAAGGTCGCCGTCGGCGTCATGGTCGGATCGTGCCGTAAATGCGACCAGTGCGAGAGCAATCTCGAGAACTATTGTCCGGAGAAACTGGACACCTACAATGGCGTCCAGGCCGACGGATCGATAACCTACGGCGGCTATTCAGATCTGATGGTCGCCGACGAGGGCTTCATCATCCGCTGGCCGGAGAATTTTCCGATGGACCGCGGCGCCCCGCTGGTGTGCGCCGGGATCACAACCTACAGCCCGCTGAGGTACTACGGGCTGGACAAGCCGGGCCTCCACGTTGGGGTTGCCGGGTTAGGCGGGCTTGGCCACGTGGCGGTCAAGTTCCTCAAGGCCTTCGGCGCCAAGGTGACGGTGATGGACATCGCGCCGGAGAAGAAGGCGTACGCCCTTGAAACCCTGGGCGCCGATCAATTCCTGCTGAGCCACGAGCTGGAGTCGGCTAAGGGAACTCTGGACGGAATCCTCGACTGTGTATCGGCTTTTCACTCGATTCAGGCTTATTTGAGCCTTTTGAAGCCGCACGGGAAGCTGGTGGTGGTGGGGTTGCCGGAGAGGCCCCTGCAGCTGCCGATGTTCTCGCTGGCGACGGAGAGGAAGATGATTGGTGGGAGTATGATTGGAGGGATTAAGGAAACGCAAGAGATGATTGACTTTGCAGCGAAGCATAACATTTTGCCTGATGTTGAGATTATATCAATGGATTATGTCAATACGGCCATGGAGCGGCTGGCGAGAGCCGACGTCAAGTACCGATTCGTGATTGATGTTGGGAACAGTTTGAAATCTCAAGATTGATTTACTTAGCAATAGTGGATTTTGTTTATTATTAAATATTATTGTTGTATTTTTTCCTTTTAATAATATAATTAAGGTGGATTTTGGCTGGGATAAACAGTAAACTGGTTATGCCAATTAGGGCGTTGGTTTAATATTTTTCTATTCATTAATATTTTTCTATTCATTCAATCAACAAATTACACTCTCTTCTATCCACATTATTTTTTCACTAAATCTCTCTTCATTTAAACACACACTCACATTCATATCCATTCATTTAAATATATATGTGGGACCTATTATTCACTCATTCAATATAATTTTTTATATTCTATACATAATAGAAATGAATTTTAATACTTTTAAATTATAACAATAAATTTTAAATACATGAAAATAAAAAAAAAACACTATAAGACTAAAATAACATAAATTAAGATCACATAAGAAAAAAATAGTACAATTACAAAAAATATTTTCTTTAGTTGTTGGCAAAATGAGTCCAAATATACATGTTGAGAAGTGTGATATGTAAGAATATTTATCTGATTTAATCATATATCGGTGCAGCGGAATGATTGAGATTACATACCTCCAGTCATTGCTTGTGAATGTTTGAGTTATTTGAAGAGCTTGTAAAAGACAACGGTGAAGGTTTCGGCACGTTCACTTTTATTCGCTCAAGATCTTCCAGGCTCTTTAACTTTTTCTTTAGATGGTGTAGATTCAATAGTTACAAAGTGATGAGCCTAGGGACCTTTTTATAACCGATGATACCCTTTGGCCGAAAAATACCTTTTGACATATGGTATCTTTTGGTATAAAGGTACATTTTAATATATAGTACTTTTTGGTATAAATGTACCTTTTAATATAGGGTACCTTTTGGTATAAATGTACAATGTCTCCTTATTAATTCTACCCATCATAGAATTAATAGGTGATTAACAGTATTTATACTCTTTATAAATAGGAACATGTGGACCATATTAAAATTATCTTTTTTATACATAATACAAGATAATAGAGAAAATAAAATACTAACATGATATAGACAAAATGTAAATTTATTTGTATTAGAAAGTGTGATATAAATAAAAAATAAATAAAATATAAAAAACAAAAAGGTAAAATAGTTAATAAATAAAAAATCTTAAAACAAAAAAAAGGAATAAAAAAGTTACATGTGCAGCGTGCAAATATAAAATAAGATTTTAAAACCAAAAAAAAAAAAAGAAAAAGGAAAATGTGAATGAATTCGCGTTCAGTATATTTAACGAGCATGTGGACCCCCCCTTAACGGATGAGCTGCATCCGTGTTAACGTGGGGAGGGGGTTCGTTTAAACACCAAAACAAAAACACCAATGCGGGTGTTCTTACACTTTTTTTTTTTTTAAGAAAAATGGTACAAGTACATAATAAATGTACATAGATGTGTCACACTCGATGTGAGTTATGTATACCCCTATATACAATATTATGTACCTATAGAAATGCTTTCCTACCCACGGTGGGCACATGTTAATATACTCACCGCGTAGGTGACATGCACTCATTGGTGATGTTAATATATTTAAAAAAATACATCACCAATGAGTGTATGCCACCTACGCGGTGGGCATATTAACATATGCCCACCATAGGTAGGTGAGCATTTCTCTATGTACCTATACATTACTCTTTTATTTTTAATGATTCGAACGGCTTGCGGTCAGAGTAGGGCTGTAATAAATGAGCGGAGCGTAACTGAGTCTCGTCCATCAACGTTAAGGAGTTCGTTCAAGTTTTTGAAACGAAGGTATAAGTATCAACTACCCTTCAGAGATATTTCATTAATAGATCGTTTGTGCACAGATGTACAATTTGGTCTTATGCAACTCGGACTCCCCTCCTAGTGAGTCCTACCAAATAAAAATCTCAGTGTGAATATTATGTACACCTTTATTTATATTTCTTATGTACTTGTAGCATTTTTCATTTAAATGATATGACAAACATGGAATAGTGTTTAAATGGAGAAATGTTTAGCTAAATAATAATGTAAGAATACCGTGGATAAAAGAAATTGTAACTCATGATTAAATCAATGATAAAAGATGCATATGCCTTAATATAAATTGTGAAGAGAAATGTTATAATTATATAATACAGTACAATTGTACATAACACTCACATTAAGTGAGTCTTACTAAAACTAAAAAATAAAGTCAACCTCACTCATATTGAGTGTTAGTTGCATTTTTCAATTGTGAGGGCATCCCTAATGGTAATAGTTATTACTAGCTATATGGTCAGTTGACGTGGATGTGAGAGATAAGAAAAATAACTATTTTACACTATTGGACCCACGTACTCCTCTCACATGATCTTGGGCTACGTGAAATAAATAAACTATTTGATCGTCACTAGTGACTACTCTTTCTCTTACTTTTCCCCTGTCCACGTCATAATAGATAGCCAAATAGCCAACCATTGGGATCATCTCCGAGAAACTCCTACCGCAATCTCGACTACCAAACCAAAAAAAAATAAAAAATCTGCCGTCCATAATTATCCCCACCTGACTACTTGAGTCACAGCTGACTCTACAGCCTCTTCATATGACTCATGTGTGACTCACCCAACTCGAACAAATCAACATCAAACACACCCACTCCCCAGCTGTTTACTCGTTTACTACCCTATAAATAAGCCCACATTTCGCAGATTTTAAAGCATTGTATTTCCTCATTCTCTAAGAGCAATCTATTCATTTTTATATTTTCTTATTTTTAGAAGAAATAAAAAAGATAACAGATAGACAAAAAATGGCCAAGTCAGTGAAGGCTCTCGGTTGGGGCGCCACAGACTCGTCAGGCATTCTCTCTCCTTTGGAATTCACCCGGCGAGCCACCGGCAGCCGAGACGTCCAGTTCCAAGTCCTCTACTGCGGCGTCTGCCACTCTGATCTCCACCTCGTAAAAAACGACTGGGGATTCGCCAAGTACCCTATGATCCCCGGCCACGAGATTGTCGGCGTCGTAACCGAGGTCGGATCCAAGGTCGACAAGTTCAAGGTCGGCGACAAAGTCGCCGTCGGCGTCATGGTTGGGTCGTGCCGCCTCTGCGACCAATGCGAGAACAACCTTGAGAATTACTGTCCGGAGAAACTGGACACCTACAACGGCGTCCAGGCCGATGGATCCCTCACCTACGGCGGTTATTCAGATCTGATGGTCGCCGAAGAGGACTTCGTCATCCGCTGGCCGGAGAATTTCCCGATGGACCGCGGCGCGCCGCTGGTGTGCGCCGGAATCACGACGTACAGCCCGCTGAGGTACTACGGGCTGGACAAGCCGGGCCTCCACGTGGGGGTTGCCGGGCTTGGCGGGCTGGGTCACGTGGCGGTCAAATTCCTCAAGGCCTTCGGTGCCAAGGTGACGGTGATGGACATCGCGCCTGAGAAGAAGGCGTACGCCCTTGAAACTCTGGGCGCCGATCAATTCCTGCTGAGCCACGAGCTGGAGTCGGCTAAGGGGACTCTGGACGGAATCCTCGACTGTGTATCGGCTTTTCACTCAATTCAGGCTTATTTGAGCCTCTTGAAGCCGCACGGGAAGCTGGTGGTGGTGGGGTTGCCGGAGCGGCCCTTGGAGTTGCCGATGTTCTCGCTGGCGACGGAGAGGAAGATGATTGGTGGGAGTATGATTGGAGGGATCAAGGAGACGCAGGAGATGATCGACTTTGCAGCTAAGCATAACATTTTGCCTGATGTTGAGATTATATCAATGGATTACATCAACACAGCCATGGAGAGGCTTGCGAGAGCTGATGTCAAGTACCGCTTCGTGATCGATGTAGGAAACAGTTTGAAATCTAAAGACTGATGTGGGATTTAGTTTTTAATAATTAAATATTGTTTTTGTACTTTTATTTCTTCTTTTCTTTTTTTTTTTATTGGGGGTATTCTATGTGGTGATGTATAAAAGAACATATAATTTTCACTAATTTTAAGCTTCTTTTTGCTATTCCCTCATGCTATACTCCAATCCAATGGCATCAGCTATTCAGATAAAAATTAACATGCAAATTTTTAAAGTGAGAATTGCGAAGACACATTGGAATTTTTTTTGGTCAAATCATTTGACCCCAATAATTTTATTTATTTATTTATTTTTTTTTTTGGTACAATGGAGGAGACCAATGACCTATGCTAGTACTCGACCGGGGTAGGACACCCCCATAATATCATGCTCTAGCCATGCACCCATCCTTGGAGGAGGGGAAGTTAGGTGCTGAAGTCCAAACGGATGTGAAGCCGCCAGCCATGCCATAAGATCGGCCGCATAATTTACTTCCCTATGCATGTGTTGGATTATAATGTTCTACTCTCTTTGAACCATGTTGCGAATGACATTAACCATCGAGTCATGAACACCAACAGCGCCTTCGGAGTTACGAACCATGTTCAAAACTCATAGGCTATCAACCTCGACAACTACTTGTCGATATCCCAAGTTCCACGCCAGATGTAGTCCTTGGAAGAGACCCCATGGTTCTGCGCCCGTAATGGTGCAGTGCCCAATATTATGTTAAGAACCCCCGGTCCAATCGCCCCTGTCATTTCGAATCAGATCACCCGCACTACTCAAGCCCGCGGAAGAGTCGAAAGCCCCGTCGATGTTCACTTTAAACCATCCCAACTCTGGAGGGACCCACTGAATCATGCGAGTAACGTGCATTATAGCTCCTACCTTTATATACGCTTCAACTGCACGGGTATAGTTACCTGCCAAGTTCAGCACCTCGAATTTGCTCACCTCGACAGTAAGTGATTTTTGTTCAAAAATCCTCTCGTTACGCCATTTCCGAAATTCGCCACACGGCAATCGAAAAAATGCAGCTACAATTGACATAATCACCTGCCCGCAATTTTAAAAAATTTGACGTAGCCAAAGCTTGAGAGATTGTTGAAAGAAGGTTCTGTTATGATTGGCCAGGAGCAGGCAGTCCCACAGCTCCTTCGCCAACGGACAGT